TAATTGTGTTAATAGACATGAGCTGTCTCTACGTTGGACATTTTGCTAAATTGAATATTTTATTGCATTCATCCTCAGCTTGTCTTTCTTTGATGGTTAGATTTTTTTTTTCAGAACTTTTTCTTACGGCTTTTGACCCATAAATCATTCAGAGGTACACCCAGTCTGACTCTTTTACCTTATGTTTTAAAATTGAAGAAATATTATACCCAAAAAAATATAAAAAAAAGATTTGTGATATTATTTATTTCCTTTGGAAATCACCTTTTTATTACACCCATGCCACATTTAAAACCAACTTTAGGTCATATAAATATTTATATAATATATCTTTTGGTTTACAACATTAATAACTGTCATATTTTTAAACACATGTACACTTGATATGTCTTGATTTTTTTTGTTTAAATTCTTTATGAACCTAATTAAGTAGTATGCTTGTCCATGTTGATTGTGTATTCAATTAGTTTTAGCATGAGAGATGCCACTAAAAGAATTTGTGTGTAAAGGTTTGCCTCAAAGTTGTGATACATAAAAGTGCCTCTGATATCATTCTACTTTTTTTCTTCAGTAGGCTTTTTATTTATTTATTTTTTTTTAATTAAATAATAATTCCACTGCATCTTAATGTTTTTCATTTCAATCCTAACACTTGCAAACCAAAACATTTGAGAGTAAGGGTTAGGGTAATGTTCCATATAGACTTATGGTCAGGATAGTTCTAAATGAAAAGATAAGGAAGTACATGGACTGACAGAAAGTTAGCACAGTTTGAGATAAAGGCTGGAAATTCTGCTAAACCTCATTGTCAAAAAAAATGTGTTTTTTTTTGTAGGAGGGGGGTGAATAAAAATGATGACGACTGCATTATAATATTATAGCAATATAGAATATTTTTAAATTTTTTTTTTTTTCTATACACTTTCCACAAATGTTATATTTCCGTACCTTAATTTTTTTCTCAAAATCATTTTTTTCCCTTGAATATTCACTATTCTTAAACATTATTCCATACTAGATAATATTAATGCTAAATTCATTGGTTTTGAATAATTCTGCAATTTATTTATATTTTATTCTTGCATGCAATGTGCATGCTAGTTATTGTTACCTTTTGTTGCAAGGTTATTTCCCTTTGTCATGGTTGTCATATACAACTTGTGATTATAACTTGAGGTTAGTTATAGATTGACCAATGAAATCAGGTATTTCCTTGGCCAGGTTCTGCTTTTCAATACTAACATATTTTTTTTCTCATTAACTGAAATAATTGAATAAGTAATAGAATAATTTCAAACTATTTTATTTATTATTACAATTGGATGATATTGGGAAAAACATGAATGCAAGAAATAACAAATGTAGGCCTAATATGTAGCCAGTACATTAAACCTAATATTAAATTGCATACGCATCATTTTTGAATGCATTTTGTTTTACATTCTAATAACAGTTCATTAATGTAAAGGTCTAGAAAAGTAGACTATTCAATACAATTTAAACTCTTGAAACAAGAGGATATCTTTGCTGTTTTCCTTAAAATTCTTAGGAAGATCAAAATAATTGTTTTGAAGTTTAACGAGCACTTCAAAATTCACTTGGTCTAATAAAATTTATTTTACACACAAGGAACTAGATCTAAATATACTATATTATCTTGTAAACAATGTAGAATTTGAATTAAACATAGTTGCCAAGTACAGAAGAAAATGTACTTTTCCATAGATCAGTTTCTTCAACCCTTTCTATTATTACAAAAAAATATTGTGTCAATAGTATTTACTGTTACTATTAACATACTTTTGTTTTAAATAAGCCACACTAACAGACTCCTAATTCCATAATTACACCATAGGCCTACAATCATTTGGCTTATGTACAAAATCCCTGTGATGTGATAGTTGACTTTCTGTACACCTCATTAGAAGAAGACAATTTAAGCAATTGAAACATCAGTTTCAAAATGTAATAAGTTTGACAAACTGTCATACCTCATTCAATTTTTTAATTAATATTAAAATCAATGCTTAAAATGACTAATAGTATTTGAAAATTTATTCTGTAAAAAAAAAGAGTAGTTTTCTTTAATAAATAATTATTTAAAAATTTTTCTTCAATGACATGATTGACTAATGTCTTATAAATCAGTTCGTAATTAAATAGTCTATAAAATTATAAACACCAATTTATTTTCTTGTGTGAATGGAGTTTAATCAATTCAATCATTTTTATTTCTATTTTTTGTTTTGTTTCTGGAAATTTTAAGGCCTAAAAAAAGCAACAGTTTTATTGCATTCATTCATTTCATTTATCCTCAATACAAAATGGAAACACTTTAAAATGGTTTCTTTTCTTCATTCACAAAATTTCATGTGATTTTTTAAAAATTATGTGATATTTGTGTCTGATCCTGAAAATTTCTATATTTCTTCCACAACTTTTATAAAAAATTTATCTTGGATTGTGTTATTGAAGAGTGAGATTTTCAGTGGTAATTTGATTTTGTGTATGTAAATACTTTTTTCTAAAGAAACATTTTTAAACACATTATTTTAGCTGTTAAGGAATCAATTGTTAAAACTATATTTTAAAATGAGTGATTTAAAAACGAGTTTCTGGTTTCGCTGTTGTCAGCATTCTACAAATAAAAAAAATAAAAAAACAAGTAATCTTGTTTTGTTAAACCTTGGCTCTGCAGGAGTGCTTATATTCCTGGTTTCTAGTTTGACCTTGTACATACAAGTATCATATATTACTCAAATTTTTTTTTCTAGTCTTTTACAATAATGTCAAAGACAAAATGCCAATATGAAAGATGTTACAACATAGCATTGTTACATTGTACATTTCTTTGGTGAATTTTTTCAGAATGAGTGTACACTTCTTTTTTGTCAAAAACACATCATTTTTTAATGCTATCATTAATTGTAGTAATTTTTTTTATAACTTTTATTTAAATCAACAACTGAAATGGATTTATAGCATGTTGAAGAGCTCCCCACCAGCACCTATATATATTTATATATATATATTTACATACTATGAATTTTTAAAAGTTCATTTTTATTTCCCTTTCCAAAGATTTTGTTTCATTTTTTCTCTTAGTCTAAATGAATCATGTACACATCTTTGTGTGTGACTTAGAAAGGATTTTTTTTTCAATGCTGGTTGAATATTTTAATGGCCAGACAACATGTTGTCATTGTTATAGCTCATTTAACATGATTAGGAAGACTCAAAGAATTTGACCCAATGATACGTTGTATCATTTCTTTTATTTATGTGTGTGTGTGGTTTGAGCAATAATATTAGTTGTCTTCACATCAAGAGTTCCTATTTGCTTTCTAGGCTTTGCCCTGTCACCAGTGCTTAGAGGTCACCATAGATATAGGAGCCATACATTATTACAAGATAGAATTAGTTTTTGTTTTATGTGATTAAAGAAATTGTTATTTAAGACTCAGTTCATATGTAAGCTGAGCAAAAAAAAAACAAAAAAAAACAAGTCAAGGCTTAAACTTTATTATTAACTCTTTCTCTCTGTAATTATTTTCCAGGTTCCGATGGAATTATTCATTTCGCTCATTAGTATTTCACTACCCTGTTATGATTAAGCTTCAATAACGTTTTTGTCATCAGAAAATGTTTGTTTGAGTTGGTATAGCTTTAAAAGGAAATGCATGCTCTTTTTATATAACACAAAGTATAATTTATAAATATAAAATCAAGCATTAATTTAATTTAAAGAGGTCAAAACAAAGATAGTATCGTCAATAAGGAGAGAAAGAGTTAAATCTTTAGGTTCAACTCAAAAACTTTTTAGGAAATAACTTTCATAAAACATTTCAAATCAACAAAACTAAGATAAAATCTGATAATAATATATAATAAATAAAGTACTGAACAAGTCTTAAACAGAAGAATAAAACAAAAAACAGAGCAGCAAATATGTGTAAAACAAGTAATTTGGATGGCTACCTAGTTATATGGTATGGGGTCTGGACTGTCCACTAGGTGATCCTGGGTTCAAACCCTGCCCACTGCCATCCCTAAGGATAGGATGTAACAATTTGTAAAGAGCATCCAAAACATGTAAAACAAATAATGACCAAATGACTGGTGCTGTAGTCAGACAGCTATTCGTAAAGAGTAATAGGCCAACTTTTCTGAATTCATGATTAAAGTACATCAACCTAACCAACTTTTAATTTAAACCAAACCACAGACTATACATTAATGGCATAAAAACAATGCCTGGTGAAAGTCATAACTACTTGATACCAAATGTAACTGATTGAAATCTGCTCAGATGTTTGATAACCTTTATTCTAAATCTTTTTTTACACACTTATGGTCAGCTATTCATTCATATGCAGACGAGGCAAAAACTTCCTAATAAAAAAAATCAATTGAAATAGATAAATAAAAGAGTCTGCATGATATATTCTATTGACATGTAGTAATCTATTCCTCCTTTCCCATTTGTTCATTTTACACACCTTATAATCTACCTTTTAAAACTTGCAATAATATAGTTCCTTTTTTTATGAGATATACAAATGAAAGTAATTATGACCTGACATGCTAATGTGTGACTGTAAATGTTACATGGTGGAAAAAATTCAACTTTCTGTAACAAATTTTAGAGGAACAACAATGGTTCAAGTTGAGAAAACAAAATCTAGGAACAGCTTTGAATTAAAAATGCAGTATACATATATGCACCAAATGATAGTCCTTCTCGCTAGGATGATTGCTGGAGAACACTAATATTTTGAAGTACTAGAGCACTAAGGCTAGTGCATCAGAAAGAAGAACTGTGTATAAGAAATGCTCTCATTAGTGTCACTGATCAGTTATGATGAGATAGCTACTAGAGCTAAACAGGTTCAAAGAGGCCAAACGGTTAAGTTAGCTACTAGAGCTAAACAGGTTCAAAGAGGCCAAACGGTTAAGTTAGCTACTAGAGCTAAACAGGTTCAAAGAGGCCAAACGGTTAAGTTAGCTACTAGAGCTAAACAGGTACAAAGAGGCCAAACGGTTAAGTTTGCATCATTTGAACGATAAAACTCAAGTTTATTCCCATGTAACCTTATTTCAATTTTATTTCTGGTTATTTTAGTGCAGCATGTACTTCTGCTCTAGTTTAGTCTTTATTTATTAAAGACTTGTTATTTATTGATGTCATTTTTAAACAGATCTATTTGTTCTTCAGATCACTTTACTATTGTTCAGACACACTTTCAAGATCCCTATTGTTTTTTTTTTTAACCCCCCCCCCCCCCTCCTCAGCTTTATCTTTTGCTCATCTCCCCCCCCCCCCCCCCCCCCCATTTTATATTGAAGTAATTTGTTTGTCTGACTGGGTGGACGCCCAGGATTTATGTACTCATGATAAAACAGCTATTGAAGAATAAATTTTTTTGTTTCCCTTTTGCCACATTTCCTTTTTTGTTGTGCTATTTTTTTGTTGGCCTCAACACTTGAGTTCTACGTTATTTCTAACTCACATCTTGGCAAACACAACTAAATTCAAACACACAGAAGTATCAAACACAGTTCAAGGTTTTGGCTATACAATTCACATCCATTTCATAAATTGGCACTTAATACTAGTAATAGAGAAAATAGAAAACTACATGCATTATAAGTGGTTTAAATGTAAATTTAACTTCCTTTTAATCAACACATCATTATTAGATTTTCTTTCTAGCATAATTCAATCCTAATAAGAAAAGCACTATTTATCTGATTTGCCAAATTTCATTCCAAAGGCTTATTTGTTTAACAGACTGCATACAAGTTTTAACAGAAAGTCTGATAAAAACTTGTACAACAAACTGTTCTATGAAGAATATCTAACACACTGTAAGCTTTAGCCAAATGATAGTCTATTTCACTTGACAGCCATGCCTTATAGTCTATTTCACTTGACAGCCATGTTTTTTTAGACTGAATGCTGCCCAAAAAATGTCAACTACCACACTAAGTAATAGTGTGACCATAAGTATTTCAAAGATACTTTTTTTTTGTTGCTCCAGACAAAATCCTCCAAGTCCTACCAGTAGTCCTTACAACTCATCCATATGGCTTTAAAGCCTAGATAATAAATAGAAAGCATCCAATGATCCAGCTGACCACAAGGCGTGAAAGGATTGCTATTTTTTAAATCAAATTTTATAGTATTGGATGGATCATCTATTATGTATGAGAGGTAACTTAATGCTTCTGTTTTATGCACATACAATCAAGTTTCAAGACCAGCTCAGATACCTACCTCACTTTAACTGGTTACTAAGAACACTTGCAGCAAGTGTCAGGAAAACTTAGAAGAGAACTTTCTCACCAAATTGGTTAGCAGACATACATTTCATTTAATTAATTGTCATGGTTTGGTGTTAACAACAATGAAAACATCAAGTTTTTTTCCTTAATTAAAAGCTCTGAAGACGATTGCTGTTGAGAAATACCACCATTTAATACTCAATCTGCTAATGCAAAGTTACAACTCTATAATAATATAAGAACATGTTATCACCTTCCCTAAATTGTCTAGTCGAAGATTATATTCCTTTGCATTCTTCTTCACAGACACACTACACAAACTAATACAGTACTAAACACTTTCTTAATTCTGGTTATGCAGCTTTTGAATCTTTATATTTTTTAAATTTTAAATAATGTTTTTTTTAATATCCTACGGCAATAAAATATTTCAAAGCACATAAAAAATCTCAGTTTATTAACAGTTTTACGACAAAACATAAAGCTGGGAATATCTTTGTTTGCCGACAGCCAGATTACTTATTCATTCTCATGAGACCATATATTACAAGTCCAATTTAGGTCGCCAAGCGCCAAAGTTAGTCACCTTGGCCAAAAGTAAGTATTGTATAAAAAAAGGTTTTCAACCTAAACAAACCTATTCATAGCTTCACTATCAAATAAAAACTAATACATGTGTCAAAAAATCTTGTTCATGAGGTTGATTTAAGAACACTTAACAGCCATACTTAGGTTGAATAGTCTCAACATCTCAAAATGAAACTTTATACAGAGCATTACAAATTAAGTTTCACTAGAAATATTCTCAACACAAACAAAAATAACTAATTATTGATTAACATGAAAAAAGTCTGTTTAGTATGTACATTAATGTTAAATTCATATTTTTTTAATGACCTAGTTGAACACGAAACAAAATTTAACCGATGTTGTGACAAATCATGACTGACAATGTGACAGTTTCAGGTGGGTCACTTTGTAAATGTAATTCAATGCAAGATGTCTTGATGAAGTTCAGCTTTGTTAGAAAACAGTTTAGGACAGCCTGTAATAACAAAGAAAGGATAATTTAAAGCATAATACAAGTTTTTACTAAATCAAAAAGATAATCCTAAATGTAAAACACATATTTTCAGTATGCTCATATAGCGGTAAAACTGTCAAAATGAACAAAGAAACTACAAGTATCAAATTATATCACAACAGTTTCAACGAAGGACTTTACGTACGTATCTACTAAAGAATCCCTCATCTGCGTCTGTATCTGTGATGGCTCATGGTCACTGAGTTTAAAGACACTTTCTAGGACTGAGACTTCTGTTGAAGTAGTGTCGTGGCCACACACAGCCATCCAGTCATTGACTACTAGGCCTGCAGCCAAGATATCGCTACCCCTGTTCACAGTACCTGCCTGAAAGAAACGTTAATTTAAACTTTATTTAATAGGATCATGATTTAAATGTACATTGACTGTTAGCAGTGGAGTTTTTTTTACTATTGTTTTTATTTATTTATTAAACACAAAACCAACCAACATTATAGCTTGTCTTTTGTATGTAGATGTGTACTGAATTGTACAAAGGTAGCCTACAATTTATTCTAGGAGGTGTATTTTGTAATCATCAGTTTGGCCTTTAAGTTAGTGCTTATGTTGTAATGTTCACAAGTAGCTTGAGAAAGAAGTTTCAGGAAGATTAAACTGAAAAACATCACGACACAAGAACACTTGATACAGTTGACCTTCCACTGGTCAGTTGACTGTGCTCTGTCAAGTGTGAAATAATCCAGACTTGTGACGAGCCTTTTCTCTCTCTTAGTTTACAGTTTACACACTGGAGTGTGACATTGACACTGTAATGAGCTTATTGACTCATCAGTTTGTATTTTAAGATGAAATAGTCACAGCTATAACATCTTAGTTTAAAAAGATACAAACATGGGAATCCAAAACAGGATCACAATAAGCCCCATGATGAGCTTCTGACCACTGTTTAAATCTGCAAGCAAAGACTGTCCAGTCCAGCCATATAATGGGATTGGGGTCACAAAGATCTTCAAGCAAAGAACAGTACCAGGACAAAGAAGCAGGTGCAGAGCAATGGGAGGACAACATTAAGGAATGGAATCTATGGAAGACGCTAAAACTGTCAAAAAGAGAGAAAAAATGGAGAAAGATGGTCCACCTATCATGCGTGGTGCCCTAACAGTGCAAGAGACAGGCACAGGTGAAGGTAAAAGAAATGGTACATTACTATGTTCGACTGAAAGAGCTAAATGACAAAGAACAAGAACTAAACAAATAGAATGGAGACTTAAACTTTCTAAAGATGTTTTCCAATGGATTGTTGAAAATCATGATTGGGATAGTCAGGTTTCATTGTACAACACTGCTTCCTTCCCCTTCACCTATCCCTTAGTATGTAGGATCTTTGGGCACCATACATGATCTATCAACAGTCTTTCTCCATTCCTCTCTTTTACTTTCAATATAATCACTTTCAATGACATTCTTTTATGTTGTCTTCTCATCACTTTCATTATCTGCCTCTTTTACTTTTTCCTGAAGGAAGGTCTTTGTGAGCCCTGAAGATCTTATGAAATAGACATAAAGTTTTAATTTGCATTTTTTTACAGTGGTCAGTGGATCATCGTGGGACGCAGTTGCCATTGTGATCCTGTTTTTGATAAAGTGTTTGTAAGTGATACCAAGGATCCTAATATAGCATTTCAATTCCACTGCTACGATCCTCCTCTCTAGTTCTGCCGTAACACCCAAGATTTGCAAGCATACAAGAAAGTGGCCATGTCCAAGAAGGAGCGTATAAATGTTTACATTTCCTTAAAAAATAATGAAGACCAAATAATACTATGACAACAAAAGCACAAAATTAATTCAACAATGGAAGGGAACATGATTTAAAAAACAACAACTTACCACTAGAGGAACTTGGAGCAAGGAGGACAGCTCATCAAGATCTTCTACAGATGTTTTCGGGGAGACCTAGAACAGTTATGAAATAGTATGCTGTATGCAAGTTAAAAAGATCTTTTTTTAAAACAGAGATCTTCAACAGATGTTTTCGGGGAGACCTAGAACAGCTATGAAATAGTATGCTGTATACAAGTAAAAAAGATCTTTTTTAAAACAATCTAATCAATAATAGTGATCTGAACTATTCATTAGCTATATCTCAGCTACTTACCATTCCACCCTGATTGCTGAATACTGTGTAACTACCGACTAAAACATTGTTAGCCACTGTGTGACGAAAGACTTCTACATTAAGTGTATCCACCAAAAGATCTTCTGTCTCCTAAAAAAAATGAATAAAAAAAAAACAATCTAAAATATTTGTGAAAACAAAGGTTTTATATCTGTGGCATTTTACGTCTTGAAAGACAATTTTTTCCATTTGCAACTTCTGTGACTAAAGATGCCAATCCTTTATACATTGCAGTCACAGGTTGGGCATCTGTTATCACCAGACAATATAGCACTTTCACACTAATTTCAACTTCTGATGTGTATGCCATCTGAAATCCAGGACCCTTCCTTTATGCTTGCTCTCCACCTGGATCTATGCAGTGTCTCATTTTTCCAACTTTTGGTGTCAATTTTGAAGAGATTCATCTCCTGTTTTCATACATTGGTATACCTTAAAAGTAGGTGACCTGCAGCTCTCCTGTCTTCTATTAGATCACCATACAGAAGGTTTTGTGGGAGTTGACCTAATAGCATTCTGTGAAAATGTCCAAACCAGCCTACTGCTGATAACAGTGAGATGATGTCCTGGCATTCTGCTCTTTGCAACACTTCTTCATTGGTTATTTTATCTTGCCACTTTTTTTTTTTTTTTAAATCTGCCTTAAGCATCAGAGAAGGATAGTCAGTTTTATTATCCTGCCAAGAGTAGGTTGATCATGTATTACTATCATAGAGGAGAGAGCACATGACACAGGTCGGTAGACACAGGCTTTGGTATT